GATTATATACTTTGTGAGCCGCCCAGAGTTCCCCATTGGGGGGAGATGGGCGGAGAATAAATCGAATGTATAAATAAATAAAAAATGTCATGTGTTGTTCATCTGAGGTTGTATTTACTACTTTTGAGAACTGCTAAGGACCAGATGATTTTTATTATTATTATGTCCTGATACGTAAAACCATAGAACTCAAAGAGGGTATACTTTCTTTTTCACACAACAAATAAATAAAAAATGTCATGTGTTGTTCATCTGAGGTTGTATTTACTACTTTTGAGAACTGCTAAGGACCAGATGATTTTTATTATTATTATGTCCTGATACGTAAAACCATAGAACTCAAAGAGGGTATACTTTCTTTTTCACACAACTGTAGTTGCATAAAAAATATATTAAAGGGGAATCTTTGTTGTCAAGTGGGAAAGCATGCACTTATACGCATGCAGGAGACCCTTTGCTCAATCTCTTGACTTCCCTAGTAAAGACTAATTCCACAGCAGATAAGTGCCACTATCAGTTGGAGTGGATCTGGGGTCACTATCATATTACCCACCAAGCTCACTGCCTTGACTTTTTTTTTTCAGGAAAAACTGATTTAGTCCTAAATTAAGATTATGAAAGTCAAAGTTTAAATCCCTATCTAGCTGCATAATTCATTTTATGATTTCAGTCGATCATCATATCTGCTTAACTTTCAATACAGGATTTTTGTGATAAGAAAAAGGAACAACTTTTGCCACCTTGAGCTAGTAGAGCAATGGCAGGATGTAAATGTATATACAGCAATCCAGATTGAGACTGCATGCTAGAAAAACTAATCCTAACAATAACAGCAGTTTAAAAATGGAACCAATTACTAAATTCCCCTTCACTGGATCTGTTCAGGTAGAGGCTGGATAATCATCTGTTGGAGATGCTTTGATCTGAATTCCTGCACAGAGCACATTGTTGGCTTTTATGGTTTAAACATTCCCTTCCAACTCTGTATCTCTCTGATGTACATATATAGACATACACATGCACATAATCCAATCCAAAATATTATGAAATCTAATGTATATGATTTATTCTAGGTTTTCCTTTAGTGCCAGCATCAATTCATGCTGTGGCAAGAGCCAAATATTTCAACGATAAGTGAGTATTGTGGGTGCTTTTTATAAAGCTAAATTAGTATTTGTTAAAAATATATAATTTCATTTATTTATTTATTTTTTCTTCCAGATGTTGGATTAGTGTCGACACTCATTTGCTATACATTGTTCATGGGCCTGTAATGGCGGCTTTATTGGTGAGAATTTTATTTGCTATTTTATTGTGAGTTCACCACTATACTAATTCTGCCACACTTATTTGTTCTTACTGAGGTTTTTTGTGCCATGTTTCAGCACAGCATTCAAGACAGCTAAATGTTTTATAAAAATATCCTCCAATCCCATGGTTCCTTGAAGTCCTTAGGACTTGAGAAACATTATCTTGACTTGAGGCAGGTCTCTGTTTTCACAGGTAGAGAAACAAACTTGTTGCTAGAAGTCTATCAATAACATGGCACCATGGTCCAATGTCTGGAACTTGAAATGAGTGGGAATTTTTCTGGGAGTTGAAGTCCAATCATCTTAAAGTGGCCAAGTTTGGACAACACTGCTGTAGAGAGAGATAGACAGACAGACAGACATGTTGATTGCATGTGTCCTCTTTTCTAGTGTGGTTTACAAATATGTTTTCAAACTTCCATAGTTAATTTTAATTTTATGTTTCCTTGTTATGAGCTAAATTCCCCATTGTCTGCACATGAAAATGAGAGCCATGTTTTCTTTATATTGGAATATTCTTGTGTCTTTATCTTTATTCTATGTTTTTATAATGATAAAAATAACACATTTGTTTTTGCAGGTCAATTTTTTCTTTTTGCTCAACATTGTACGAGTTCTCGTTACAAAACTGAGAGACACCCATCGGGCTGAGTCCAATATGTACATGAAAGCTGTCAGAGCCACTTTAATTCTTGTGCCCTTATTAGGTATCCAGTTTGTCATTATTCCCTGGAGGCCAGAAAATAAACTTGCTGGAGAAATATATGATTACATCATGCATATTTTAATGCACTATCAGGTATGGGTTTCTGACTGTGTTTTTTGGTGATGCTGGTAGGTTTCATTTGACAGAAGAATATTTTCCCAGGAAACACAGCTGGCTTCAGATAATGAATTAGTGCCACTAAAGTCAATGAGAGTAAGTCAGCTTTACACCAGATTAGTTGATTTGCGGGTTATTTTCCAAATAAAAAATCCACACATAAAATATGTGAGATAACTTAGAGTGTGGTCTTATGCATATTGACTTGGGGGGGAAAGGGAGTGATATAAATTCTGAGTAAATGTGGATAGAATCATATGGAAGATGATGTGAGGTACCATTTTAGATCTCTGCTTTATGTTTGAATGTTCCTGTAGAAATACTGCCTCACACAAAAGAAAGAATATGCAGGAACTTACAGTATGTAGGGAAAACTAACTTAAAGAGGACAAATGTATACCCCTTCTTCCTGGCAAGTAACTACCTCCCTGTCTAACTGCCTGGGTGATGAATTTAATATTCTCATCTAAAAAAAAAACATTCTTGGGAGGAACGAATATTTGTATTTGCAAATCTGAAGGAGAGCAGAAAAATGTGGAGTGGTATGGCAAATTTAGTTTGAATGAGAATGGGGATTGTCAGTAGGTATACAATCATTTGGCATTGCATAGGTGCTTTTCCCAACTCCATGGGAAGAAGACTACTTTGGCTAAAAGCCAATGAATTCAATGCACATATTTCTGCTAGTCTAAGGAGATACTACTCAATTATGGATAGTCCATTGGTCATCCTGAGACTTCTTCGTATACCTTTCCCAGCATTCCTCACTCATAGGGACCCATGGAAACATCAAGAAAACTGCACATGGCACCATGAAAACTCTGGAGGCATGCCAGTCTGACCAGGATCCCACAGATGATGAGTGGACAAATGCAAGCTGAAACCACACATAGCATTTTGGTTCCTTGAAAGTCCTGTTTGACCTAGCTGCTGAAAATCATTGGCATGGTTTCTTGCTATCTTAAAGTGGGAAACATTTTTTTAAAAAACACCTATAGTATAGGTCCTAAAATAAGCATAATATATTTGGAAGGGGACAACAGTAAAACTCAGATGACCGTGCTCTGCCCATGTAGGCATAACATAGTCTCGCCCATAGTGTATCATTGGTTAAACATGGCCCCAGCCATCAAAAGTTTGCCCATCCTTTCTATAGATCTTTTGGGGCAAGGGATATCTGTGAGGGGAATTTCTTTTCTTCCCTACTTGCAACTTCCTGACACATCAATGTCTGGAAGTAATAATCAAGATGGTTTGTCTGGTCTATTCATTAGTATCTCCTAATTTGTGGAATCTTTGTAAGCATCCGTTACCTCTTCAAGGTAGCTGGGTCAGGAAACAGACTTCACAAGAAATACTGGAAACCTACTGTATTGATACAAGGTATAATAACAGAATCTTGAAAGCCTGATGGTGTTTTCCCTCCCTCCCTCTTACACCAAGAGTTATGGTGGAGCCCATTTTAAATTCTCTCTAACATTCTCTTCTTTTCCCAGGCTTAAATTATGTTTTGCTAACTGTCACATTCCTTTTCCAAGATCATCTCTGTGATTCTCTACAGCATCTCCCCTGATATACATTGCAGTTAATGTAACTTGCCAGAAAATCGTTTTTTGATAGTAAATGATTATTACCCTGTTTTTATTCAAACATTTTCCCAATGCAGGCTTTTAAAACATACTTTTCCCTGATGTAAGCTCTTTTAACATAAGAAATGTTACTTGTACAATTTGAATAAATTACAGCCCTTCATTTGTTTGGGGATTTTAGATTTTTCTTTCCCCCTAAAATTTTGATCTGGGGATACTAGTAAACATTATTCCCATTCCTGTTTATATGAAGTCAGAAAAGCAGTAAGGATTTTTTTTCTCCCTGCAATGGTTTAAAATCATGCTTTGCCAGTCCACTTTTGGTGAGCAGGTCTGTCTAAAAATATCAGCTAACCTGAGGCACTAAATCCGGAGTACAGCCTCCTCCCATCTGATAAAAATGAATAAATAATGAAATGATGAAAATGGTGAAAATGGTGAAAATGAAGCAAATCTTTCCTTTCCCACAATTACAAGATTTGCTTAAAATCTCTTTCTCCCTTTCTTTCAAAGTGGCGCTCCAGACTTTCTAATCCTAAATCAAATTCTGCAGCATTGTGGTTGGTTCTTATGCCACCAAAATGGGGCATAACCCAAGTCCCTCAGCAGTCAGAGATAAATAACTAATTGCTAAGTTACAGTTCACTGAACAAATATTTGCATTTAGATAATATCAGACTTGGAAACCATTGCTGATGCTTCAAGAAAATTTAAGGGTATTGACAGCTACATAAAAAGCTTAGCTGTGTGTATTTATAGCAAAGAGCAACATTTATGTTGCCAGGATATCAAACCAAGGTCAAATCAGACCATAAACTATCCAGGACTATGCTAATCTGCTAATATCAGGACAGAGCAACAATATGATTTCCCTGCATGCAAAATTTGGGTGGCCTGCAAATAATGTGATGCTGGCATGGGAAGGAGCCCCATTATCCCTTTCTCTCATTTAGATCGATGTGTTTACTGCAAGAAGGAAGCAAAGCATATTGAACCAGCTCCTGTATTGTTGCAGTAATGTGTTTTTGAAAACTAGCTTGTAATATTCTCCAAGTTCTGTAATAATATATGCAAGGCTATACATAAGCTATAATGCAAAACATTATGAACACCTCATATGGTGGTTTACTATTGCTACTATAAGGTATTCAAAACAAATAGACCAAAGAAAGAAACTTGGCAAGATAAAATATTGTGACTGCTCTCAAGAGGATTCCCCTTCTGGGATAATGCTCAATATCTTCAGAGAAATTTTGTAAAAGCACATGCATACTGAGCTTGACACAGGCTAATATTAAAATGTTTAATGGGAAGCTATCAAGATAATCAGCATTTAATCTGAAATTAAATGCCACTGAAGAGTACTAAACCTACTCAAATTGTTTAGATTGGGTCACTGTCACTCACAGACAATGGACCCAGCTCTAACCTTAGCTGCATTACTGGCCACTAATGGGACCTATTTTGGGGACAAATAAAATCCATGGATAATATTGATAAAATTTTGTGATTTCCTTCCATTTAAGGCCCAGAATCAAAGTATCATCTGCTCTTCTGAGTATGAAACAGTATACTCATTTTTATCACTTAATTCCACTGATAGTCACTCATTGATTAAGCCATAATGTAGTTTGCTTGGTTTGTTTTAATCTGTTGATATTGTACTTTGTAAACCATAGCTTCTACTTAGGACAAACCCTGAGTCTGCAAGCCATACACAGTTCCCAAAGCCTGTGCTTGAGATTTGTCAGTTTGTGCAGATCTCCATACAATACTATGATTTGTGATTTACTACCAATTTTCAGTATGAAATGACAGGAAACAAGTGTGTTTGGCTTTTAAAAGAGTTACTGCTTTATTCGTCTTAACAACCCTCAACCAACTCCTCAGAAGGGGCCAATCTTTCCAGTTACGTATCAGTGTATGAAGACAACACTGCTACTTTATTTAGCTTCTATTTTGCATTATCTCAAGTTGCTTCAAACCTGGTGAACATTAGCAGAATGGCTGAGGTGGGACAGGAAGAAACAGAATTATTCTAGTAGTCCTAAAGTGTCAGATGTTATAATGAAAATATGGAAGATAGGTGTGTGCAATTCCCCTCATCCCAGGATTTAGATTACAAGATTGTTCTACTACCCTAGGAACAGTGTCTCAGTGGCTGCGTTGGCGAAAGGACAGTAGTTTTATGCAAAGACAGTCATTTCAGGATCAAACTGTTGTAAACCAAGACAAGCTGCTTTTTACGAGCATTCGTTATTTTTAAATTACCCCATTTATTGCTGTTACCTTCTGTCTTGTTCATTGTTTTTTTACATAACTCTTCTATTTGCCTCTGACAGTATTGCCTACAGAATAGTGAATTAAAATCTAATTTCAAGGTCATCTGAACACACTCAGATTACATTATACTTGTGCAAAAGACAATGTGGCTATAAAATTGCAATAAAATTGCAAATGAGAATAGATTTCAGAGAGACAGGAACAGAGAGAGAAGCCTTTGCATGACCCAAAGTGCTTTTATAAGCAGGATAAAAACATTAAAAAAAAAAGGAGGAGGTTACTATTACAGAAGGGTACAGGGCTGCAATTTTATATATTTATTTATTTCATTTATATTTCAAATTTGGACACTACCCCTCTCATGAGGAAGTGACTCTGGGTGGTTTACAATAAAAACAACAAATAAATATTAGTTAAAATACAA